TATAGCAAAAACCTCCAAAAAAAAAAAAAAAAAAAAAAAAAAAGAAGAAGAAAGAAAAGAAAGTCACAGAATTGCCTTGTGATCCAGCAATTCTACTTCTGGACGTACACCCCAAATAATTGGAAGCTGGGTCTCTAACAGATCTTTATACACCAATACAGAAACAGCAGCTGTATTTCCACCAACGAATGAATGGATAAGTAAAATGCATTACATGCAATGGAATATTATTCTGCCTTAAAAAGAAATTCTTCTTTATTCATTTCCATTGAGAAGGAGAAAGAGAGAACAGAGACAGTCGCCCCTAACGGGGTTCTCATGCTGCAGTCTGTCCCCAGAGTAAGCCAGCCTGGCGTGTGCTTGCGTTCCCGTGGTGTATACAGAGATCATGGTGTATGCATGTTCACCAAACGTGTACGAGAAGGCCTCAGAGTGTGAACAGGGACCTTCCCATGTGGGTTCAGCTGTGGTATCGCTGTGCCACCATCTGACCCCAAATAGAAAATTCTGACACACACTGAAACATGGACGGACCTTGAAGATGGTGTGCTAAATGAAATAAGCCAGACACAAAAGAGCAACTCTTTTATAAACGAAGGACCCAAAGTAGACAAGTGCGTAGAGAGGAAGTAGGACGGGGACTGCAGGGGGTGGATGGGGGAGTCGGGGGCTAGTGTTTAAGGGGCACAGAGTTCTGTTTGGGGAAGGTGGATGGTTGACAAGAGTGTGAATGTTTTTAGTGCCACCTAACTGTGCACTTAAAAGTGATTAAGATGGTCAATTTTATGTCGTGCATATTTTACCACTGTAACAAAATGAAATAAAACCAAACCTTGGGAATTCTTAGAGTGGGAGAGTGGGTAGGGGGAGGCTTGGCAAAGACCAAGGCAAAATCATGTCTGAAGGGAGCTTTCATAGCCCAAGCCATTTTGGACACCGTGAGAAAAACATCATTCTAACTTTAGCTCACAGTCAGAAATGATAACCTTTCCACGAGTGACGGTTCTGTTACCACGAGTAACAGAGAGCATACATCGCAAGAAGAATGTCTGTCCTTCAAACTTGAAAGAGTCTGAATAACCTGAAAAAAGATTTTTAAGTAACTATATTTACAATGATTAAGGAAGTAAGTGGGTAGCTGGAATTGGGTGAAGAAAAAATTAGGAGGCAAAGGGGAACAGGATGTGGAAAATAATTAGAATTCAAGAAAACAGGTCAGTCTGGGAAGGAGAGTTATTAGGGAAAAAAAAAAAATCAGAGTGGAAGAAAAAAGACTGACCAAATTGGACCTTCCGCCCAGACCCTGGGGAGCTGTCCCGGGGTATTTAGCTAGCGAAGCTCTTCCTTCATGGACAGAAGAACTCGGTGAATACCTGGCAGCTTGAGCTTGAGTTAGAAATAGGAGACTTAGAAGAAAACAGACTGGGACCGGCAGGTGGTACGGTGGTGAAGGTGCTGGACTGCCACAGGGACAACTGTGGTTTGAGTCCCGGACTTGGTGGCTTACTTTCTCACTTTCCTCTCTCTGGTCAAATTGAATAATAATAATAAAATAATCGATTCCTTTAAAAAATAAAAAAATAAAGAGCTTCAATGTCATTAAAGAAAAAAAAGAAGAAGAAAACAGACTTGGCAGAGAGTCAAAGCACTGGTTTGGAGGGACTAGACTCAGGGGTGGAAAGACACAGTTATCAGACATCCCCTGGTAGAACCAGACGCTGGAACTACTGGTTGACCTGGGGTGGCCGCTTCTGTGCCCTCTGCCCCCAGCCATGCCCCTTGACAGCAGAGGAAATCAGGTCCACAGGCTAAGCACAGTGGGCAGCGTTCATTCATTCAACAAAGGTTTTCAGAGCTTCCTCATAGTGCCAGGCACCCAGCTCGTGAACAAGATAGACCCCTGCTGTCCTGGAGCAGGAAACCTGCTCAGCATTCTGGAAAGTGGGGCTTCCTAGTTTCCAAGGATGGCTTTGTGCAAGTTACTTCTCTGCTCGCTGGCCTGTTTCCATGTCTGTAAGTTAGGGCTTACAACAGAACCTGCCTCAGGGCCGACAGATGGCTTGGTGGCTAAGGGCGCTGGGCTCCCACGTGGCTGACTGTGGTTCGAGTCCCAGACCTGTCGGCTTGCTTTCTCTCTCTCTCTCCCCCCCACCCCCGGTCAAATTAAAATAAATAAATGATTAAATAAAGTTAAATAAAATAATTCAAAACAGAACAGAACCTACCTCATAGTGTGGTTGTGAACACTGGATAAGGTTGTGAACACTGGATAAGGCTTGGAGTGTTACCTTGCACGTAGTAACGTGCTCATTGAATTAGCCAACCTGTGTGTGTGTGTGTGTGTGTGGTTTTTACTGTCAGGTTAGTGTACACTTGCCAAAGAGAGAAACAGATGGAGGGAAAGTGAGAAGTCCCCCTTCTCCAGGAGGGATAGCCATGATGCAATCCCTTCTCCTCCATTCTCCTCTCGGGGTTTTGGACATGCGCACACGCACGCCCAGAGTGAGTGATTCTCAAGCTGCTGGGCCCGGGGTTTGTACCACAAAACTGGCCACGTGTGATGCAGCACCTTAACCTCCACGCCACGCTGCCTAGGGTTAGCCAGTGTTAATGTCCTCGTGATTACTAATATGGGGCTGTTTTAGTTGTTTTTTGTCACCAAAGTCTGGGTGATTTAAGAGAATCAAAGTTTCGTGAACTTATGGTTTAGAAGTTCAGAGTCCATGGGTCCATTCTGGTGGGGGTCCTGCAGAGTCCCAAGGCATCACCTCTCAAGGGTGCAAACAGAACAGAGTGGCTGTGAGCATCTGTGTGTCTGTCTGATCGCATTCCCACCTCTTCTTTTTTAATTGCCAGAGGTGCATGCATTGTGTGTGTGTGTGTGTGTGTGTGTGTGTGTGTGTGTGTGTGTGTG